AATTATACCCGCCATCCTTCACCCTCTCTCCCCTCCCCCCCTATACTCCCCTTCTTCATCCCCCCTCCCCAAATCACCTTCACCTATCCCCCCCCAACTCATCACCCCCTTCCCCCTACCTCATCACCTCCCACTAGCACTCAAATAGTTCACCTTTCTCTCTCTCTCTCTCTCTCTCTATTCTATCCCTTCCCCAACCCTCTCCGCTCCCCCCCCCCCCAAATTAATGCCCCCCCCCCCTAAACCCCCCTCTGGGATCTGCCACATTATGAGTTCCATTAATATATTTTGGAGACCTTTTTTTTCTTTATCCTTTTTCAAATTTCGTCCTTTATTGTACCTTATTCTTAATCGTTTTTTCTTTCCCAATATATCACCTTAACCTTCTCTTTTATCGCCATGAGATTATGAAATATACATATGTACATACACACACACATACACATACACACACACACACATATATATATGTACTGTACATATAGATAGATAGATAGATATAGATATAGATATATATATACATACATATACATATATATACACATATATACATATATACATTCACACACACTCATATACATGTGTATTTTCTTTCCTTCAATCTCTATCTGCGTGTATGTTTTTCTCCCATTTTGTATCTCCTTTGCGGTCTCTCTCCTCCCCTCTTTTATTATACGCACGGGAATATGCACGTGTAGCGATTAAACCGTGCTAGATTTTCGACATCATACATCTCAGTACATCGCTGTCTGTCTGTCTGTCTGTCTGTCTGTCACGCAGCCATCTGTCATCGTACGTGAGTCAGTTATTCGCTGGTGTAAAAATGTAGGTTTTGTAAATTTTGCGTTTTCTTTTATTTTCTTGTTCTTTTTTGATCTCCGTGCGTTTATTATTATTATTTTTGTTGTTGGTTGGGATAGTTGTAGTAATATTAGTTTAGCTTATAACAAGGACAAAAAAATCCGATAATGATTACTGATATTGATATCAATAACAATAATACGAATAGTAATAGGAATAAATAGCAATAATAACAATAATAATGGCCGTAAGGGAAATAGATAATTAAAGAAAACAGCAATAATGATAACAAATATAATCATTCACGTTCACTACAATAAAAGTATTGTTATTAATTTCCTTCTTGCCTCATCTGCCCCCCCCCCCACAACCTCCCTCCCCCCACACGTCTTACGTCATTCGCTCTCTTTTCTTATCTTTTCTTTCTATTTTCTTCTCTATTGTCTTGTCTTTCCTTTGTTTATTTAAAAAAAAAATCTCTTCCTGTTTTAGTGTTTCTCTTTTCGTTTTTTTTCTTTTCTTTTCTTGTTTATTTATTTATTATCATTTTTTTGCGTTGTTCTATTTGTATATTTTTTCTGTCTCGGGTTTATTCTTTTTTTCTCTCTCTTTCTCTTTCTCCTTCTTCGTTAAATATATTTCGCTGTCTTCATGCAACCCTTCCATTTCCTTCTCTCTGTCTTCTCTCTCTCTCTCTCCCTCATTTTCTTTTTCTTCTCACTATTCACCCCCCCCCCCCCTCCGCTGTACCTTGTCCTGGAACCTCGAAATCTTCACTGGATTAAGCGAAAGAAAAAAAAAGGAAAAAGAAAAAGGAAATGAACCGAATTAATCCAAATGACCTTTATTCCCCGTATTCTTAAGGACTGAAATCGAAACACAGCGGGAAGGTGGGATCTGAAGGGGGTAAAGGGATAGATTCCCCCCCCTTTTACCCTCCCCTTTCCCCCCCCTCTTCCTTCCTTCCAATCCTAGTAGAGGAAAAAAAGAAAGAGGGGAGAGAGAAAGGAGGAAAAAATGAAAAGAAGAGAATTCCCTCGCCATTTAAAAGCAAGAAATGGACAAACAAAAATGAAAACGCATTTTCTCTCTCTCGTGTTTGCTTCTTCAATTGTCATTTTCCTGTTTCTTTAAAGGGAGTGAATTGTCTGGCGGAAAGCTTAATGCCATAATATATTTTTTTTCTATCTTTTTTTTTTTCTTTTTTTTAAGATTATTTATCCTTTTTATTTTTTTTTTATTTTTTGATAATGTTTTCTTTTTTTTAGTTAATGAATTCGCGATATCTGCGTTAACATACAAGCACACATGTACACACACACACAGACATAAACACACACACAAACAAACACACACACACACACAGACAAACACACAAACACACACGTACACAACACACACATAAACACACACATACAAACCAAATGGAGGGGCGTTGGAGTCTGGCGTTCTGCATCATGCACAGATCAATCACATGGAGGAGCATCGGTGAAAATGCCAACATGCATGACATACAGCGGGGGTCAAGGGTGTGGTATGGGGAGGGGGGGAGGGGAGAGACAGGGGGGTAGGAGGGTGGTAAGGTTGACCCAAAAGGTTGTGGGATACGCCCTTCCGTCTCTTTCTCTCTCTCTCTCTCTCTCTATTCCTCTCTCTCTCTCGCTCTCTCTCTTTCTCTCGCTCTCTCTCTCGCTCTTCCAGATGTCTCTGTCCCATACATCGAGGTCGCGTCCGCATCCCCTGCCGCGGCCCCGTCTTCCGCGTCCTCAGGTAAGTAGTCCGAGCCGGGAGGGAAGGCATCTTTACGAATCGCATCTCGGGGAAACGAGAGAGCACAAAAGGAGGGAGAGGGAGAGAGAGAGAGAGAAAAAGTGTTAATCGCCAGCTCGGAGACAACCCCGCGGAGAGAAAAAGGAAGGCGGTACATTGGTGGCGCGACGAGGCCGAGGTCGCCGCCGCGGTCGCCGTTTCGGACAGCCTCGCCGAGATCCTTAATGGCGGGCCCGGAGTCCATACATATTAATCAGGCGCTGGGAAGAGTAGCACCTGAAACCCCGACCGGCAGCACGATTAAAATCCAATATTTAAAACTGTAAACTCTGTCTCGGGCCTCCGCCATTCTTCTTAAATTAATATCATCGACCGGCGGGAGGCAGAGGGACCTAAGCCTCGCCCAGCGCCGCCCCGCCAGGATGACCCCTCCGCCCGCCCGCCGTAAGGGTGACAACGATCTCGGCTGTTTATTTAGCACATCGGTTAATGATGCTTGCTGAAAAGTATATGAAACGACGCGCTAAAGGAGAAATATCCAGATGAGATGAGGGTGTGTGAGGTTGGGGGATTGGGAGCAACATTTCTCAACAAAAGGACTGTCTGGCACCCTCCCCCTCCCCCCCTCCCCCCCTCGTTCTGATGCTTGCCGTGACTCGGGCTTTGGGTACATATACTTTTTTTTTTTTTTTTACCTTTCTCTTTCTTTAGACAAGTGCTGCGACGAGAGATAGAAAAAAAAGACTAGACGTACGAAGTGTAATTAACTTTTATATTTATCTAGTAAACTATCGTTGATGCGGATTTCAATGACATTTAGAAGTTTAAGTGAACTTGTGACCTCTCGGATATCAAAGCAGGATACACCTTCTAATCATATGAAACAA